AGTAACTCTTGCATTCCCTTCACCATTTTTTACTTGGCTATTTTGTCTTACCAAGTTGTGAAAATTTTGTATTATGGATGCACATTTTTTTTAAGATTTATTTATTTGTGCATACATGAGCTGGGGTGTTGGCCAGAGGTGTGGGGTGAGGAAGTGAGAGGATTCACCAGAGACAGAGTGGGGCACAGAACAGGTGGATTGACTGAAATACGTTGCTTAGGGGAACAGCAGGTGAGACAGGAGCAGCCTGCAGCACCCTGTGGGCTAGCTCTCTGTCAGGGATAATGCGGAGACTTAGTCCCTTGTGCCACCAGGCAGTCCCTGAATGCACATTCTTTAATATGTTTTGCAGTATTTTCTCCCAGTCTGTGGTCAGCCTTCCCCTCCCCCCCCTATAAGTAGTGTCTTAAGAACAAATTCAGATTTTTTAAATAGTAGTGCTTTTGATATCCTATTTAAGATACTAACATAAAAGTAGACATACAGATCTTTGTGCTACTTAACCCCTCTTGTTTTGTTGACACCATTTTAAGACAGACTATTTTTTTTAAAAAAATGTATAATAAATACTACACAGTTTGGGGAAATTATGTGATGAGAAATGACACAGGAGACCGGCACTTTCAGGAAGCCCAGATTATTCTTTCTTGGTTGAATTATCTTAGCACCCTTGTTGGAAATCAGGTGGCCATATGTTATGTTTGTGAATCTGTTTCTTGTTTTCTGTATCGCTTCATTGATCTGTATATCTACCTTTATGTTAGTATCAACTATTTATATAGCTTCATGGTTAGTCTTGAAATTAGGTACTATGAGACTTCCAATTTTGTTCTTTAAATATTTAAAAAAAATTTTGACTGAGACAACTTTTTCATTTTCAAATACATGTTAGAATCAACTTGTTATTTTTCTATCAAAGCCAAGTAGTAGGGTTTTGATATAATTTTGCATCAATAAAGCAAACAGAGAATTGGCCTCTAAAACAGCATTGTCGTTGAAGCAGAGTATCGCTTCTTTGTATTTAGTTATTTTATAATATTTTCAGGAATTTTTGTTGTCAGTGTGTAGATACTGCATACATTTCATTGAATTGTCCCTAATTCAGTTTATACTGTCAGGTTATATATTTTTAATGTTCAGTTTTAAATTGTTTATAACTACTACATAGAAATGGAGTTGAAACGGGTGACAAAATGAGTTTAGTTGACTTGGATGATAGTAAAAGCATAAATAAAACTAAGAAAATCAGAAAAGAAAATTAGTTTTTTTGGGGGAAGATTTTTGTTTTAAATCTCTAAGCATCTGAAGTAACAGGAACACCTCACTGTAGACTAGGAAAAATCACAGGAGACTTGAGAAGTATCTGGAATTTAAGTATGATTAGATTCACATACTTCAAACCCTGTTCTCTTACTGATAAACCATGAATAATGGGAAAGCTGATGTTATTCTAAAGGTGATTAGGCTTAGTAACAAGCCTAACCAAAAAAATAAAGCCTGAGGAATGCAATCTCTGGTTCAGATACAGTGCACAAATAGGGTGGCGGGTGTTTGGTCATTTACAGTGTTTTGAAGCATGCTTAAAAAGTATTCTTTCATCTTCAGTGAAGATGATATTCCAAAACAGAGCTAGTCCTGATGTGCATTCCAACTTTCCCCTCCCTTTTATTGAGATAAAATTGACATGCGGCATTGAGTATAAGGTGTACAATGTGATGATTTGATACATGTTTCTAATATGAAATATTTAGCACATTAAGGTTTATTAACATATTCATCTTAAATGACTAGAACTTTGTTGTTATGGTGAGGATGTTATCTACTCTCAAAGCAACTTTCAAGTATACAACACAGTATTGTTAACTATAATTCCATGTTGTACACTAGAGAATTTATTCACATTATGGCTCAAAGTTTGTTCTTTTTGGCCAACATCTCCTTATTTTCCCCACTCTTGAGTCCTTGGCCACATCTGCTCTACTTTGCTTTTAAGAAGTTAGTGTTTTTAAATTGCACATGTAAGTGAAATAATGTAGGACTTGCTTTTTTCTCTATGACTTACTTTCACTTAGCATGATGCCCTATGAGTTTCATCCATATTGTCACAGATGCCAGGATTTTTTTTAATGACTCAATAATATTATATATAAATACCACATTTTCTTTTTTTTTTTCCAATTTAGTTCATTTATTTGTGGGTCTTTATATGAGTGAGCAGTATCACATGCTATCTTTCTCTGGCTTATTTCTTTAAAGTTTATTCACTCGGCCCTCCCTGGTGGCGCAGCGGGTTAAAGCACAGCACTGAGAATCTAAAGCCGCTTCCGCATGAGTTCGATTCCCGCCTGCCCCGGAGGTGACCACATGGCGTGGCGGACCTCTACTGACCCGCCCGCTGCTCCCCTCAGCAGTGTACTTTGTCCATCTGCCTGTTCTACTCCCCACTCTGTCTCTGGTGAAGCCTCTCGCCGCCCCTGAGCCTCTGGCCTGTACCCCAGTTCTGTATGCACAAATAAATAAATCTTTAAAAAAAATAGCTTAAAGTTTATTCACTCTAGGTCCTTTGCTTTTATTATACATGTCAGGATTCGTATTTTTTAATATCTATGAGAGTAGTTCTTTAAAAGATGTGAGAATGTGCTACTGTTACAGAAAGGAGATACTAAATACTTCCATGTTTCTTTGTCCATTCAACCTTCAAAGGCTGTCAACCCAGTTAGGTACTTTGCATGTATTATTATAAAAAATGCTGCAGTGAACATTTGGAACACAGCCTTTGATGACAAGTTAGGGTGTTTATTTGAAGTTTTCCTTAATCATGATATTTATTGCTGTAAACGTCTGTCTTGGCATTGCTTTTTACTGCAATTCATAAGTTTGGAAACACTGTGTTTCCATTTTCATTTACGTGGGTTAATGTGTTTTATTTTCTTTTGGTATTATCTTTGAGCCATTGGTTGTTAGCATGTGAGCTTTGGTTGCCAAATATTTGTGAATTTTCCAATTTTCTTCCTGTTATTGATGGCTGATTTCAGACTGTTGTGGTCAGAATAGATAACGTGATAAAATTTATATATTTGTATGTTTTTTTAAATTTACTTAGACTTGCCTCATGACTTAACAATATGATCTCTCCTTGTGAATGTTTCATTTGTGCTTGAGAAGAGGTCATATCCTAGTGCTGTTGGGTAGAATGTTTCATATATATGTTAGGTCCATTTAAGTTAAGTTCAGATCCACTGTTTCTTTATTGATTTTCTGATTGGGTAGTCCATATATTGCTGAGTATTGAAGTCTTCTACTGTATTGCTCTCTATCAATTCCTTGAGATTTGTTACTTTTTGCTTTATATATTTAGTAGCTCTAATATCTTTACTTCCAACCATCTGCCCTCTTAGCTTCACAGCTTGATGGATATGAGAGATAACCCCCCCCCTTTTTTTTTTGCCCAGTTAAGGAAGACAGGAAAGAGAATTACTGGGAAATCTACAGCATGAGAATAGAAGGGAACCAGTTCTTTTCAGTAAAATGAAAGATGATATAATTAAACCTTGGTTATCACTAGCAGGGAAGCAAAATGGCCATAAAATATTAACATCTAATAATTTACTGTCATAATCCTAACTCTTCCCCAAAGAGTTTCCTGTTTCTTAAATTGCAGTAATAGCACTAAGATTAAAGACAAAGGATCATTAGTTTTACAAGTTTATCTTAAACCAGTTCCTTACAGTAGTAGCTGCCTTTGTCTTCCTGAAAGTGCTGAGCGTTTATTAACAGCATAGTCAAGCACTTTAAAATTAGTGATCCCACATAGTTAGCTGGTGGGTGAATCTTTATTACTTGACATTTGATTAGTGGCAAAAAGGATCTAGTTGTGGATTCTGACACTCAAGGTGTTGGACCTGTGGACTTTAATAATAGCAATTAGATTTGGATGAAAGACCAGAGACTCCATGTATAAATGGGAAACTTCCTGCATTGCTAGATAGTGTGTTTTTTAGCTTAAGGCTAGTGAATTGTTTTCAACCCTAAGTCTTCAGGAATAGGCAGTTTCCTGTTTCTACAGATACCAAATGAAAAATCAAGTCATTTTTCTTGGATTTATAGAACAGATTGAAGGACTTGTTCTGTTTAATTTTCTGAGCTAGCGGGCCCCTGCATGCCAGGATTCTGTGGCAATCTGCTCTCAGTGACCTTTCTTCTCTATGAATGTAGGTGATAAAAACGGAGGTGAGCCTGATGATGCTGAACTGGTAAGGCTCAGTAAGAGGCTGGTGGAGAATGCGGTCCTCAAAGCTGTGCAGCAGTATCTGGAAGAAACACAGAACAAAAACAAACCAGGGAATGGGAACTCTGTGAAAACTGAAGAGGCCGATAGGAATGGCACTGACAGTGACAACATGAAATGAGACCCTAATGCACTGCTCTGTGAGAAGTTTCCTTGCTTCTGCAGACTCAAGGAACTAACTGGCATTGTGCTGTTCAAACTGTGAGATGCCTGATGCCATTGATGTTTGCATTTCTGAAAGAGAACTGGAAATTCATCTGTGAAAGAATGGCCCAGTCATCACTGAGAGGGGGAACTTGGATTATGCTTGTGAGCTCAGATTAAAAACCCCAAAAAGGGCCTTGCCATAAATGGAATGCCGCCATTTATATTGTGTAGCAAGGCATTTGACTACTTCATCTGAGGCCAAAACACACATAGTTAACAAGTGCTAAGTTTAAATAATCACTGTTGAAATGATTATCATACAGTAATCCATGATGTGTCATGTTTGTCTGATGTATGCCTTTCTTATGCACTGATCTTTATTTACAGTATATTTGTTTTATGTAAATGATATATTTTTTGGCAAAATGCAACCTTTTCTATAAAACATGGGCAACATTTTAAAGGTCTTTTTTTTAACCTTTTGATAAGTCCATTGTGCCATATTTAATGATTTTCATTCAGCTTCGTATGTAAAAGGCATTATATAATTTTTTTTTTTCTGTAGGCAAGAAATCTGTTGGAATTCGGGACTTAACTAATGAAGCTTTGCATCAAGAAAGAATGAGTCTAAAGGCCAAAGTGAAACAGATAAAAGAACTTTTATTAAAGCCTGAGACTCAGGCCAAAATTAGGAGGGAGCTTTTTGAAGGAAGACCGATCAACAGCAGTAATCAAGGAAGTGATGTTGATTCAGCACTCCTTTGACATAGCTCTTCTGTGGCTATGATGGCACCATAGTTTATGAAATCTTTCAGTTTATTAAATAGCTCTTTGGCAAAGACCAATGAAGTGTTCCAATAGTGTCTAAGGCAAACCAACATTTGGTAAGGAATTAACAATTTCTTGCTAAAGAAGAAGGATTCTACCCCGGTTTAGTGTTTTAGAATATTTGTTTCAGTTACCTTGAGTTATATTATAGAAAGGACTTCTTAACTAGCTATTGTGTGATGTTCTACGGGTCTTCACAAACAAAAGATAGACTATGGAAAATAGATAAAAAAAATAGTGTTTTAAAGGTCACTTCCTTCTATGGAGATGGTTTTTGTTGTATCAAAAAAAAGCACTATCTAGATGTGTCTATATCTAGTGTTACTTTTAATGGGGATCTGAATGTTTATTGAATACTAGTACTTGAATGAACATTTACAAATGTACTTACTGCAATCACTGGCTAAGAATGTTTTATAATATCCATATGTATTATTTTTCAATGATCAAAATGTAGCTTGCCTTTTCATTTCTTAATGTATAAATTTTGGGATTTTTATTTTCTACTTTTTTGAAGATTAGTCCCAGATCTTTGCATATCCCGTATAGACTGAATTTGTTTGCACTGGTTCATTTTTAAAGAGAACTCTTGAAAATTCCCCCCCCACATACACACATGATAATTATTGGTAACAGTATTTCCTACAATGATTGTACAATTGCTGCTACTAAAGATCATGAGGGAGGGGGAAATTATTAGACTTCAAATATGTAATCATTTCAAATAGAAATCCAGTTTACTTACGGATTTTAACTATTTTTTCACTGGGTAAATTATATTACTTTTATTTATAAATGAGTTTATGCGTTTTCATTCTTCTGAATAAACATTCTTCCCCCTTGTTACCTCTCATTTTTTTCCCCTCTTGGAAGTTTTGGGTTATGCTGACACATTGAAATCATAGTGGGAATTCTGATAATTTTAGTGGTTAGTCACTTTTATGTTTCTATCCTTCATGCTAACATAGCACAGTTATCAAAGGATTTTCAACCTGAAATGTTTAAATAAATTCAAATCAACTCCGCAGAATTAACAGAATATCAGATGCAAACAAAAACTTAAGTAACATCTCAAACTGCCCGTAATATGTCACCGAAGTGTCATCAATAGCAGAAATGACAGGAATATGCCAGACTGGGAGCTACTCAGCGCCACGCCTGTCAGTGGTAGAGGGCTTGCTTTCCTGTGCATGGACCCGATTGTCTCTTAAATAAGTCTGAAGATAGGAAACAAAGTTACTTGAGGCCTTGCCCTGTTTCCTGAAGTCCAAAGATTTAGACTCAAGTTGGTTAACTGCCTTCTCCGAGACCACACCGTTTCCAGGGAGCACAGCCTAGGCTTCCACCTCATAGTACAAGTACTATTTTCACTGGCCCATATCTAAGTTACTATTTTAATAGAAATAGCACTTTTCAGCCTATTTCTAAAAATATCTTTATTTTCAAGGAGCTGTTCCCAATCCTCCTGAACAAATTCAAAGGCTAAGACAGTATCCTTTCTTTACTTTCGTTAACAATCATAGCATCACTTGTTAAATACCTGGCTGTGTGCTGTGTGGTCAGGGTACCTTATTGTATTTTTTTCTTCCAGAAACCCCATTAGCAAGAGACTTGTACTGTGGAAAAAATTAGGAAACCAGGAAACTGGCGTTCTAAATAGTTAAGTGACTATTTACAAAGCTAAGGAAAGGTAAGGCTAAATTTAGACTTGGCTCTGTTCTATTTGAAAGCCACACTCTTTGTACAATACAAAACATCTTTCGCTCCACCAAGTACAATACATTTCACAAGTTAAGTGTGTGTAACAAAGGAAAAGTCACTTTCTTTTGACTAAGCTAGCTCCCTTGCATTCCTAAGGTTTTATGAAGCTATATTAGAGTGGTCATGCTGTGATGGAATTGGAGAAAAATAAACCCAGATTTTAACTTAGGTACGAAGGATTCTGATGCTATCAAGGAAATGTTCATTTATGGAGACAGCAGAAGTATCGAAAACAAATTTTCTTAATGGTTCCATTAAAAAACACCAAGACTTTAATTTGCAAAAGTTTAAGTTTTGGACCTTGATACGATTCAAAGTGACTTCAGCGTTACTGTATTAACCTACTTCTCAGTCTAGACTCTCAGCCTTTGAGATATACTAGATTTAGAGGTAGAACACGAATTCCAAAAGCCCAAATGTACCAATCATTCCAGCCAAAAGCCATTAGGCAGTAACTAAAGCAATTTTGATTCCATACGTGAGACCTCATTTCAGGCACACAACCAGGAAGATAAACTTGCACCTCTGTACTCAGATACCTGGGCCTGCTACCACATTATGTAACAACCTTAGATTTTATGTCATTGTATCCAAAGAAAACAAACCTATAGTAAACACAGATGGATGAATGGATAATCTATTGTCTTCCAATGTTTCTGTCACTTCAAGATTTCATCTATAATAGTTTTATCTTTCAACAAATTATAAGTGCATTCTGGAATGTCAATTTTTCAGGTAGAGAGAACTCAAAAAAATTAAACCCAGCATACTAAAAATAGTTTCTAAGTCCCCACATGCTAACTAAGCAAACCCTTAGATTAATTCATTAAAAATAACAATGAATATTAGTTCAATTCATTGAGTCGGTGAATTTAAAATGCTGATACTAGCTATAGTGCTTTCTTCCTTGATCACAGTTTTGGAGACAATAGGCTTATACATAAGCCAATTTGAGGGTTGAACGAAGGTGCTGTGATCATTTCTAATATAAGCACAAAACTACTTATTTGTATCCATTAAACAGAACTGGTAAATTCAGATAGTTTAGGATGATTTTAAAATGTCAAATGCTGTATTTATTCTTCTACGTATCCCCATTATCAGCCCCTTAAAAGTTCTATTGTAGCATCAAAGACAAGGAGAATGAAACTGAGAAGTCAGTGTTCCCAGTGAATTTACGCTGATCTTTCTGTAGTGGTTCAGATTATTTCTGAGAAGCCACAGCCCTACGTCACAGCTGCATACTACACAGGTATGATATACCTTGACTTGTCCGAGGAAAGTGACACTGACCAGCCTGTAGTCCTGTCACTTAAGCAGCTCTGTGGTAAGTGGAGCGTTAGTTCTTAAGGAATCTCAGAGCAACATCTCTGAGGTTGCTACAACCTCAAATCGTTCCCATACTTCCTGCCAAAAACCACATGGGCACGCTGGCAACACAGGGATGTCACCGGAGGACACAATTTTTTTACTTTTGGTGAACACTCACCTGGCCTATATAAAGCTGTAGAAGGTGAGAGGACCAAGAAACAAGACTTTCATAGCTGGACAGAAATTAATGTTGAGGAAAAAAACAAGTGATTATTATATATCTATATTTATATGCACATATATGTTGTACACATACGCATACACCGGCCCAAAAGATATCGGATAAAGTAACTGAGGTAGAGAAACTAGGATAAATATGCAACAATGGGAGAGACTAAGTATATCTTTCTTAAAATTCTGGGAGACAAATGTGGAAGCTATTTCTGTCAGGTTCATGCTGGTGAAGTATCGTTATTAGAAGAATTATGATGATTTCATGGGCCTTTGTCACATTTAGTGATAGTCTGGTGTTTTCAACACCTCCTATCCTATGAGGCCTGCTTCCTGGAGGTAGAGCCTGGAATTTGCCTTCCCAGCCTTGTCTCTGGGGCTTAAACATGTGGCTTTAGCTCTGCCAAGTAAGAAGGAACCCCTGCATCAAATCCACCTGTAAGCTCTGGAACAGCAGTAACAAAGGGGCTGTCCAATGGCTACCATGTCCCATGTAGGTGATTTATACTGGCGGTGGGCACTGGAAACGGGTCCCTGGGAACAGCTGGTGGTGTAATGGGGCATTTGTCCTACCTCATGGCCACCCAGGCTGATTCTCTGGACCTCCCAAGGATTCTGCAAGCTACTGAATATTGAATATGTGTGACAACACCTCACTGATAAAGATGGGAGTCGTGGAACAGGCTACATAATGCAGGCTGCTGCTCAACAGCAAGATCCTGGCCTTTTTATTGATAAACCATAGAGCATTAGTCATATGGGGAAGCAGAAAAGGAGAGGGGGAAGCAGAAGCAGGGAAAGGTGGAACTGTATTTCTCATCTGCTGATAGTGTGGTATGTAGATCAAGGCCTGATTCCCCATCAGGATTTCAACCTTATCAAATAAGGCATTCCACTGATCAGCTCCTGGAGTCCTTTGTTATATATCAGTCATACCTGGTTATGTATAAGTCAGGAATAAGCTTATGTATCTGTCATCAGCCCCCTGGTCATTCTCAGGCATACCTCTTGATTTCAGACCCTTCCCAGGTGATCCAACTTTAAGCTCTTAATGGATGTGAAAGACACCTTGTAGGATTGGCTCCTATGTCTGGGCAGTTTTGACCTTGCTTTAGGAATACAGAACTGTAGGTAACAAAAATGGAGGCTGGATAGGCTGTTTAAGATTAGCAGACCCACAGAATATCCTTTAATAAGTAATTCCTTTCATTTAAATTAGCCTACATTGACTCTGTTACTTGTAATTTAAAGTCCTGACTAATGCAAGTTACAGTCCTTTAAAACAGTTTCACTTCAGGACACAGTTGGTGTTTTGAATCAGACACTTCTCTGTAGTGGGGGTCTGCATCATAGAACGCTGCCATTCCCAACTCCCAGACAGTGCTTGCCAATAAGACTCCAGTTATTGTGACAAAGAAGCTTTCCCACATGTCTCCCAAATTCCCTCTAGACTTGGGCAACATAACCCCCACTCAGGAACACACTACTAAAGAGCTCTTTCCTGGAAGCATAAAAGAGGTAATGTTCCTTCTTGTGCCCTTTATGTAGCTTAAAAAGCACATGGTCTCCAAGGCTCTGCACAGACAGTGTCAGATACTAAGATAGAGACAGATAACATCACCTGCATATTCTAGGTGACACGAGTCAAAACATAGGTACTGCACAAACAAAATGACTCAAAGGATCAACTGTGATGGCCACTGTTACTGTTACTGTTGCAAGAATGTTCTTGGTCTATAGGATTCACTGAGCAGACTTAAAAGTTGATAAGAGAAAATGACTTACAAATGCAGAAGCATTGATTAACATACCTATTTCTTACTCATTTCATAAGAATGTTACATACATACACTTAAAAGTTTACAATAAATTTAGGGACTATCAATATAAGAAATATTAAAGATGTTAGAAATGTAGACTTTTTAAATAAAAGAAAAATACAAATTTTCTTTTGAGAGGCATGTTAGAAAGATTTCATATCTAGAAATGAGAAACAGCTGTTTCCACAAGACCCTTCTGAAACCTGTAGAAAAGAGACTTCCAGAGTTACGAGACACTTGGGGAGTCAGAAGTTCCTTAACACGCTCATAACAAAGGAATGTGATGACTAGACCAAAAAGAAGCATATCTCATGAACTACAGATTGTGAGGGATTCTGCAATTTTAGAGGAAATGACCAGCCATTAGTGCATTCAGGATGTTTGTCTTACTTGCTCATGTTAATACACTTTGTAGTTTCTAGCTAATAAGCTTTATAGTTTGTAGCTTACCCTAATGAAAAAAAAAAATCAATACCATAGACTTAAATAGGAGGAAGTGATATCAATAAGGATGTTTGCAAGTGGGATAATTCGAATTTACCACTTCCCAAAATTCCTTGTCCTGCCCTCTATCCCTTCCCATGCAATCCCATGTGACTTCACAATTAATCTCACTGCAGGCGATTATATTTCTCTGTCTTACTGAAGTTGAGCTTGACATGGGGCTTGCTGTGGCCGGCGGGATATTAGTGGGAAGAAACAAGGAAAAGCTTGCATTTTGGAGCCACAGAGCAGCCTCAAGCAGCCCAGCCCTGCATGTA